GAATGAAAATCAAGACGCCACGTTGCGGCAACCCGCTACCCATCATAATGTATTTTTCAAAAGTAATTAAAGCCCAGATTTGTTCATACTTAATAACCCTTCAAAATGTAAGTAGTAATGTCAAAATGGTTTGTGATATGTGCATTTACCAAAGGAAAAGTTTATATAGAGCTTAGGCTCAAAACAATCAAATTAGAGCTTACCTCAAAACTTTCACTAGAAAAGGTTGTTTTGATGCCTAAATATCATCAAATTGATCATCTCGACATCAAGATGGATTTCAAGTTTTAGAAACAGTGTATCTTGTAACGTATTTTTAGACTGTCAATTTTCAAGATTTTTAAGTTTTCATAGATCTGCTCAATCTACACTATTTTTGAAGCTTTAAATTTTATAACTGAAGATAAAAATACAATTTAAAGCTATCCCAAAACTTTCCAATATTGAAATTATATTTCTCGATACTATTTGAAGGTGGGCTTTAATTTGATTGTTTAGGGCCTCGACTCTATACAAGCTGAACCTTTACCAAAAAGTTATTCTTTTGAATAAAAAGTTGTTCTCTACCACTACCTTAATTAAGGCATATTTGAAAGTTGCATAAACTTGGAAGGATATAATTCTGGTAGGGTCGTGTGTTTATGGTATTTGATAATGCCTTAACTCAAACCTCTACTAGAAACCCTTGTAATGGCTTACAAATTATTTCTAACATGGTTGTAGAATTTTAACCTCCAAAAATATTGGAAATCGGGAGGATATGTGAATCCTTGAAATAAAAGTCTGGTAAATGTGTTATAAGATATAAACATCCTTAGTGCTAGAAATCCATTTATCTTTTCAGATCTATGAATTACAAGGTCGAGGTGATTGATTTGTAAAGTTTTTTAGACTAAAAGTGCATTCTTTGGCTAGAATTGTTGTGCAATTATAGGCCATCAAAATACTTTCTCAAAGGGGAATAACATTTTTCATGGTAAATGCGCTTGAACTTAATTATGGTATATGTCTTTATCATCTCAAGAAAAAATTTGTGCTTTTGTTAACATGATAAACATATCTTCTTTTTCTTATTTTTTCTTTTTTTGTGATAATCTCATATGTGTTCTTTATTAATATTTTTCAATAAAAACCAAACATATTTTTTTACCAAGTTCACACTCCACATCCTATGCTAATATGGGTACATGTATTTTGAATGCAAGTTCTCATGGTAAGCATTAACGGTTATGCTTCAAAAGTGATGTAAAAGTTCAAAAAGCCATTGGGAAAACGTGCCAATGGACCACGTGATGCACTTCTATAGGGTTAACCAAACCCCCGAAACCATGTGTATGACTTTGATTTTTTCATATAGCTCTTGATTCACTTTGAGAGTTTATTAAACTGAAAAAAAAATTGAATATGAGTTCTTCAAACAAAGTTGGCCTCGCCATGATACCGGGATCTCCTACGTGATCTCTTTTAGGATCTAGATTTTGTCGTTCTCAAAATAGATCACTCAGGGATCTCGATTTTTAAATTTTGGGATCTCAAATCCTGCTGTTAGGGATCTCAACCCCATCTTAAAGATTAAAACAACAATTAAACTGATGATTTTCTTTGTATATAGCTAACTAGTAACATAACTATTGCTTGCTTACTATCAATAATGAGATCCCTACTTTAAAGAGTATACATAATATTATATTATCATATATTTTAAGTATGGTAAGAAGATACCAAAAAAATTGGGATCAAGATCCCAAAAGGTCGGGATCAAGATCCCCAAAAGGAATGGGATCAACTTCAAATTGGATTACGATCCTATTGCATATGGGAACACGATCCCACTGTATATGGATCGCATCCTCTTAAGTAAATATCTAGATCCCGTTGTGTTGGGACCGCGTTTCACCTTCATATGGATCTCATTCTGCTACTTTTACCCTCATGAGAGCCGGAGATTTGGGCAGCCATCGATTCGATGCTCCTGCTTCCAACCACGGAGCCATTCCCGCTCTAGCTCCCAATAATTATGGTACGAGACTACATGAATATGAATAGTCATTAAATACGAAGAAAAAAGTAAAATAAGAGACCCAGCGACTTGTCGGTATTTCAGCCGAGAATCACCTGGCTCCCGATCTGGTCCTGCATAAGCTCTTAGAATGGGAATCATTTAAACAACTCCAAACTAAATCCGTTATGAAATTGAAACCCTTTCTGGACCTCCTCTTATTGCTTTAACTTTTAAAATTGTTGTTTGAGTAACTTAGAGGTCTTATTTGGATATAAGAAATTCAAACCTTTCGTAATGAAGAGAACTCTTCATTGTCAAACGCAGGGCTCCGCTGAAGCTAGGTTGCAACTCAGTTGAATTTCTAGAGGATGGGACAGCTGAATTTGAATTTGGACCCATGAACCCAATAAGAACTTTTCAAGAGGGGCGCAGGGCTTGGTTCTTCACCATTGTAGGGTACAATGGCAAGCTTGATGACATGAGTGTTGTAAGCTTTGGAGATGGAACTCCATTTCCTGATGAAGCCATCAAAAACTACAGGAAGATCAGGGATGAGAACAAAGTGAATATAAGATGGGAAAAGGGTGATATCTTGCTTCTTGACAACCATGCTGCTCAGCATTCTCGGAGGCCCGGGAAGCCTCCTCGCATCATTT